TTTATGTAAGCAATAATACAAACGAATAAATAAAGAATTGCAGCAGCAGGAGCCAAAACACTGGCACAGGGCACAGCACACCTGACACAGGTACTTTTTCGTGGACTATACATACTAGTTACCTATATAGATCATTGGTCTTGGCCTGCATCATTTGCCGAGTGGTCGCAAGTGCGACTGCCGTGCAAGAGGTCTCGGGTTCGATTCCCGGATCGGGCAAAGTATTACTAAGTTTTTAAAAAAATGTCAGCAGTAGCACGGAGTCTGGAATAGTGCCCAGTATATGGCAATACGCTCCCCCCATAATTACCTGGGACTCATAACATAAATAGTGAAAAGTGGGTGTTACTTCTGTGTGCACCTCTGCCTACGCCTTCAGGCATAAAAGGCGTGATGTTATGTTGTTATGTAAAAAATAGACTTCTCTACCCCCCCTTTATACATCGACGAAAGTACGCAATACGCTCCCCCCCATAATTACCTGGGACTCATAACATAAACAGTAAAAAGTGTGTTTTACATTGTACAGTGGCATTAAGTTCCGTGATGTGAACCTCTGCTTACCCTTTTAGGAATAAAAGGCTTGATGTTATGTTATGACAAAGCAATAATAACTTTGTTATGTATCATGAAAGTAACTGTCTATTTCCTTATTTCCTTTAATAAGAGCCGGAACAATTTATGAATCATACAGTTTCCACTAAAGAGAATATATTCAGAAAGAATCAATTGTTCTAAGAAAATACGCAAGTAAATATCAAATTGTGTAGATAAGTAATAAAGTAGGTAGCAGAATGAGCTAAAGTTACGATATTTTCAATAACAAACCTTATTTGTTAGTATTAAGGAGTAAAATCATGTTGTTTTTGTATATTTTATTGAGTATAACGATTGGAAAAATGAAATTTTTTATGTAGGTATTCGACCAACACAGATTGTAATGTCATTTGACAGATTAAAGTTCAGAAGTATAACTTTGTCCAACACTTAAAATAAACACGTATTAATTTATCTCAGACATAAGATAACATTACGCCTTTTATCCTCGAAGAGGTAGTTAGAGGTGCACTTAATGCCACTGTACAATGTAACACCCACTTTTCACTATTTATGTTATGAGTCCCATGTCATAGGGGGTGAGCCTTTTGCCATATACTGGTCACAATTCTAGACTCTTTGCTACTACTGAGATTTTTTTTTAAACTCAGTAGTATTATTTAGCCCGATCCGGGAATCGAACCCGAGACCCCTTGCGCGGCAGTAGCACTTGCGACCACTCGGCCAACGAGGCAGTCATTAATCTCAGAAGGCGTGAATTTTAAGTATATAATTATTATGAATGTTTATTCGAGGTTAGATTATTTTCTGTACTTGTATAAGAATTTATTTCAAATTAAAAAAAAATAGAATAAAAGCTTTCCGGCCGGTAATGGCTCTAAATTTACTTCCGGACTACACGCGCCTTGTTTTTCTAATAACTATCGTGAGACATACTAAATTAATTAAAAACCTCGGGTTACTCACGTGAATATACTGAGAAAAGCTCTACTAGTTTCGAACCACAAAGGGGTTCTTCCTCATGAGCAGCGTGCGCGGTCGCGGCGATGTCGCGCAGCCAGCAGATAGTTAATTTAATTACAGTCCAGAAGTACTGCTTGACCCAACCATCTAACGCTAGCCTACTCAAATGTTGGTCGAGGCTTTTAGCAATGAGGCCATTGCCAGATACGACTATCGGCACAATGAGTGCTGAAGCTGAATCCACATTAGAGACATTACGATTATATAACATAACATAACATCACGCCTTTTATCCCTGAAAGGATATACAGAGGTGGACATTACGGCACTTAATGCTACTGTACAATGTAACACCCACTTTTTCACTATTTATGTTATGAGTCCCATGTACCCGCCTATGGGTGAGCCTTTTGCGATATACCGGACACATATCCAGACTCCGTACCACTATAGGGAATTAAAAAAAAACAGAAATACTTTGCCCGACCTGGGAATCAAACCCGAGACCCTTTGCCCGGCAGTCGCACTTGCGACCACTCTATATTTGTAAATCTTTCAACTCAAAACGGCTGGAGGGAGCGAGATGAAATTTGGAACAGGGGTAGGTACCTAATTTAATTTTCTTTTTGGCGTTGCCCTTCTGCGACCTACCTGTCTAGCGGCCGCATGACATCACCGTAACAAAGATAAGCAGTGTAAATACAAATTGTGATCAATATTCTACCTGGAACTGTTATCTCTCTGATAAAACATACTTACAACATATTTATAAATTGTTAAAATATGTTCAGCGGCCATATTTAAATCGACCTCCAGACTCTGGACGGCTATATGACTAATGGCCGCGTTTATTTTGCAGCAGTCATGTTTCAATTAGGAGGTATGTAGCGTGGCCTGAGAGACCTAAATTAACCCCTTAATTAAGCTTTACTAGGTGTCACTTAAGTGACTCTTAAGTTAAGAAAAAGATCAGGGGTGGTTTGTGAAAATACTCAAGCGCTATTAAATATTAAGACATGATCAAAAATATATGTCTCTTCAAATTCCTTACAATAAAATAAAGATGGAGTATAATTTCAGTACTCATGGGATAGGGCGGCAAACAAGGACATGGATAAGCGATCAATATTACACAAGTTGCATTTCTGGCCTTCAAAGGTCAAAGTCAAAGTCAAAAATCATTTTATTTCAATTAGACCAGGAAGGCACTTTTGAACGTCAGCTATAGAAATTTAAAAGTGAAGCTATTTGCTAATTCCAAAGGGGTGAGGGAAGGACGAATGGGTCTTTGGTAACCTCATTTACACGGTGAAACATAACTTTATAAGTATTGTTTCACGCCAGTGTACTATGAGGACTTGGTATCACTCCGCGCTCCCGTTAAACACTCTGCAGTGCCGACTGCCGAAGCATGAAGAACCCGGAATGGCCCTAAACCCCACATGAACACGCATGAATTAGCTTTGAATCAGTTTTGTAATTTTTTAAAAGTAACATTTTTTTTGTTGTAATAGAAGTAATTTGATCAATACCTACTGTGCCCTAGCTGTAAATGTGAAATCGAACCCCAAATCCACTGCTCGGTTGTTGACAAATGAATATCTTGATGGTAAATTCATTATCAAATTTTTTTTTTACTTATCTGTATTTCGAAAATATTGTTTTCATAAAATTATGATAAAAATAAAAAAGAAAACAAGGACTACATTTTCTTTTTTTTGAAGAAAGCTTTTTAGCAGGTTTCATTCATAGAACTGGCAACACAGGTAAGTAGTTGTCAAATGTCAGTTGTCAGTCTGTCAAATGTCAATGTCAAATTCGTTTATTATTGTATTGCTTGCGCGTACCACGCTGCAAAAAATCAGTGAAAATAAACTGTGAAAACTACATAAAACATGGCATCAACATCAGCATCAACATCAAACCCATCTTCACCACACTCGGACGCCATCAAAAACTGGACACAACTTGAAAAATATCATCTAATGCTAGCATTAAAGTCATTGCACCGTCACGATATCGAAAAGATTCAAGAACTCGTTGTTACAAAAACAGTCGAAGAAACTCGAGCTGCAGTGGAATACTACACTCAAATAGCGTTACAACATCCCGCTTTTCTGCAAAAAGAGCAAGATATTAAGCCGAAATCATCTCGTAAACCTACAACGCCTTTGAACAGATGGTCGAAGTTATTGACTGATAATTTGAACTTAGAGGAGCTTCGAACTGAAACGGCGACTGCTGTACGCATGATCGCGGATCTGGAGAACATTCCGCCCGCAGTTTGCACAGATAACATAGATTTTCGTGAAGTTTATCGCCAAATTGCTAACGCTATGGAGGGCAAACCGATCATACTTGACGTAGCTTCCGCCTCCGTGTTCCACAAGTGTGTTCTAGAGACTGCGTTATCAAGTAAGGCTTTTCTAAAGACTGCAGCGTTCAAATACATTGTTAACAATATAGATTTGTCAGATAAAGAGATCAATACGTTCCCGCGACCTACTGAGAAGCATGAGCTTGGTATCTTAAGGCATTTGGCGTCCCAAAGAGCGTACAACCCATTGAATGTTCCGGAGGAAAATTTGAAGCCGTCCTGCGAGAATGCGCTTAATGACCATAAAATGCAGTTGGATCAACAATAAAATGATTAAGCACAGACTAAATTATAAGTGGTAATTGTGAATATTATATTTAAGACCACCCCTACTCTTTCCATGGGTGTTGTATACCCGACTAAGGGACTACACATTTGATAGAGACCGGGCAGCAGCGCTCTCTAATGAACCTGAACTTTTTATACTGCGAATTCCAACATGCCTGCTAAGTATGGATTTTAGTGCAAACCCTCATTATGTTCTCATAGTTCATTGACTGTTACGGCCTGTTGTTGTTTAAAAAAACAATCAAAGTCAGGAAGGCACTTTTGATCATCAAACAAAATAAGTGTCGGTTAGTCCTCTAGTTGCTCTATTTGCTCGTTCCAAAGTGTAGATTCCTATGTAGAAGAACAAGCAAGAAACTCCATAGGTTACTCTTTCAGGAATCAGAATTTGGAGTGTAGTCAAGTGTCTTTTAACAACTAGTTTTATTAACCTGTGTGTCTATAGATTTGCTTACAAGAGAAACTATATCAATACATAGTATAAAACAAAGTCGCTTTCGCTGTATGTCCGTATGTATGCTTAGATCATTAAAACTATGCAACGGATTTTGATGCGGTTTTTTTTAATAGATAGAGTGATTCTTAAGGAAGGTTTGTATGTATAATACATGCATATTGCACCCGTGCGAAGCCGGGGCGGGTCGCTAGTAAT